ACAAATCTCTGTAGGCTTCTGTAAGTTTTTTTTTCTTTTTTCTTTACTTTTGCAATCTGTTGCATCACATTTGCTCCGAGGCGCGTACATATTTGCATACATACACTCACGCACAAACACACCGGTACGCGGTGCTACTCATCATTTGTACAGTCTTTGTTTCCTACAGATTGTTTGAGTTCCTTCTACAAACTCCCTTACATTTGTTTTTTATTTCATTCCAACTGTTTGTTTAGTTTGGCACATTTTGCAATTTCCTCCCCTCAAACCTTCCTGTTTTTCTTCTTCTTCTTTTTCTCTGCTATGTCATTTTCACATTTGGAGTAATGCAGCACCTCCTCCTTACTGGACTCTCCCCCTTGGCACCGAGGCTTTTAATGAAAGGCCTAACAAGCCCCCTAATGAAGCCCTACGCAAACTTACACTCATTAACGACGCGGCCTTTGCAGTTGTTTGAACAGTGGTGATATTAATAAGCAAGAGTGATGAAATAAGTATTCACACACAAAATCACAGGGGTGTGCTCGGTGACGGCAATGGCATTGGACGGTGGGATCAAAGCTTGCGAGCAGGCTGGGAAAGTTTGGAGAGGAAAGCTGTTGTTTGGTGTCTCGTTTCACGTAGCCCGGGGGCAGATGGAAGGAGAGTAGTCGCTAAAGTGAAAGAGCTTGCATGAGTGTGTGTGTGTAAGAAGAGAGAGAAAAACAGAGGCAGCGACAGATAATGCCGTCAGTCCAACGGCTCCCTCCCTCCCAGCCAGCCTTAGTAATCGCCCCAGGAGGGGAAGAGGGTAGAGCGGAAGAACAGAGGAGGGGAGACGCTCCAGTTTGGACTCTTTCTTGTCCTCTGTTCACTTTTTACTCTGCCCACCTCCCCTCCATCCTCCTCCTCTTCTCTGTCCTCTGGTACAATACTCTGGCTGTGGTCACCAAAGCTGGGTGTAATGTGGGTTAAAGGCTTGTCTGCCAGCACTCAGAGGAATAAACAGAGCCTCTTTGTCGGGGAAAACTTAAAAAAAAAAAGTAAAAGAAGCAAAAAAAACCTGCTACTGTTTACGACCCAGCTATAGAGGAGGAGGGTGGGAAGGGGAGCAGATTTAGTTGGAATATGTGTGAATCATAGGCATTTGGGGAGTTGCATGAGGGGGAGGGGGAGAGTGGACAGAAGTGTGAGTGACGAAGATGCAGAGAGAGAGAGAGAGAGAGAGAGAGCTCCACAGAGGGGGAGTTGGAGAAAGAGAGATGGGGGTGAGCTCATGTTTTTGTTATTATTATCGTGCACTTGCGTTGAGCCATCTATCTGCCTAGATTAGCCGTGCCATGACATCATTGTTTTTGTTTCATCTCAGACTCTTTGCCTGGTGTTGGAAAACTTGGTACTTTCTCAGAGGTTCACACACCCACAGCTCCATCTGTAACACACGTTACCACTTTTTAACCATAATCAAAGAAAAAGCTGCAAACCTACAAACATAATGTTAAAGTCACAGATACGTTCTCATTTTTCTATTGCATGATGGGCAACAGTAGAGAAGCTGCAGAGAGGTGGGTTAAACTACGACCCTGCTTCCTGATCTGCAACCTGTGCTTTCAGGGTTTAGGAGGACTAATAAATGTGGCCAGATTGCTAAAAAGAAAAACTGCACCACCCACAATAGGATGGATGCCGTGTCTCCGAGTCAGACCAGGTGTTCCCCAAAAAGTTAGCCAATTATCAGTGTAGCCAACATCATTTTCAGGACACCACATAGACAACCAGCGGTTGAATGACGACATGCGGATAAACATGTCATCACTGGTCAGATCAGGGAGGAGAAGCAGGAAAAATGGCAAATTTCCGCACCAAACTGACACAACTTTTAGTAACCTCCGATTGGTGTAACTGGATGTCATTACTGCCTGCGTGAATAGCAATCTTACTGTATTTAACCTTATCCTTAGCCAGCAGTTTCAGGTAGGAATTGAGGTTGTCCGTTCTGGCCCCTGGCAAACATTTGGCTAAGGCCCCTGGTGTCTCTAATGCCACGTTTCTGAATATGGAGCTGCGAATTACCTGAGGGGCTTTCCAGTGGGTGTGTCTCTAAGCAGGGAAATTGGTTTGGAATGTGGAGGGGTTGGTGGTGACCAGTTGGTTAAGATCTATGACTATACTTTCTGCGTAACGTCACTCAGTCACCTGGCTGCTCAAGAACTGTTGGAGGACGACTACGCGGATATGTCCCTGGTCTCATTGGCTCCCGGCTGTTAACTAGAGGGCCTAGTCTAACTTCTGGATGTTTTACAGCCAAAAGCCGAGACTCTAACTCCGACAAACTCACTTTCAAAGCTACAACTAAAGGAGGTAGAGGAATAACTAAAAACAGAGAACAGGAGAGGGAGATTTAGAAAGTTGGAAAAGAGAGGAGAGAGACAGACAAGCCATAGCATAGCCAAGCAAGCACTAGCTTAGTTTAGCTACCCCTTACTATGAGAAATAAAACTGTGTGAGGTGCCCAGTAGAAAAGTGCAGCAGTTGAAGCTGTGTTTGAAAGTGCTTCTGGACAGTTAGAGTAACTTAAGGATATCAGCAGAACCACAGACCGTAGGTCAGCTGTTAGAAAAAGGTGAAAAGGCTCCAGAAGGCAAAGCTTGAAGTCCATAGCTAATTCCAACTAAATATCTGAGAAATACCTTTAAAAACTATTGTCTGATAGAGCTTAAACTCCATATTTTTTGTTAGGGGAAACACTTTGGTCTAAATTTTCAATGCTAGCATAGACATACGAGGAGAGGAACTGTAATTACAGTAAAACGTGGTGTTGACTCAGGCGGAATTTATAAGCCTTGCTCTATCACATAAAACCCCCTCTTAAATACATTAAAGTTTGTGGTTGTGAGGTGACAAGTTGTAAAAAAAAAAAGATAGTTCAGGTTGTATGAAAACCTTTTCAAGGGGCTATGAGTTTGCACGCTAAGGCGGCTGCAACCTGTGAATAACCTTGGCAACGGCAGGAGGAAGGCTGGGAGGAGCACACTGGGAAAGTTCAGGAGGTCCCACATTAGAGGAAACAAACAAAGCAACATCATTTCCACATGCAGACACACATGAGAGACACCACTGGTAATAAATGAACATTTGGGAACAGCGTGCCTTAAGATAAGGCCGTGTGTGATAACATATGAGCTCATATCCAGGTGGCTGTCTTGGACCATGGCTCCAATGAAGTGCATAAACACATAACACAGCTGCTGTGTCCATCCCTAGACAAAATGAGCCTCTAACTAAGGTTAGGATTTATTTTTATAGCAGCTCATAATTCAGTCTAAATACAATTAAGGAAAATGAGGTTACTTGCTGCTTCATTCATGCCATGCGGAGCAATACGACAATAATCCTCTTGGCTTAAAAAGTCTTAAGCAGTGGTTTTATATTTATAGGGATAACTCACTTGTCACATTTATCCTCTTCTACCTCTCATTACCTTCAGGCACTTGAATAATGAGCACGCCCTCGATGACCGCAGCACTGCTCAATGCAGAGTCCAGATGCAGGTGGTTCAGCAACTGGAGATACAGGTGGGTCACAAACCAACAGAGCTGACATTACAGACATTACAAACAGGCATGGAGGCCTTGTTTTTTGTAGACGCTCGCAAACAGCGTCTTGAGGGCCGTTCTGGCGCGTCGGCGGTGGAAACTTGTCTTTGGCGGGGCAGAGTTTATGGAGAGCAGCGGAGCTTGTAATTTAAAAGGAGCAGTCAGCGAGGAAGCTGCCATCGCCGCTCCAATTATAAAGCTGCTCTGGTCACCAGCGTAAGGGGGAAGAGAAAAGACGTGGAGTGAGACGTGGAGGACCCGGCTGAGAGGAGATCTTCTGTTTAGAAATGTTGGAATAACGCTCCAGAAAATAATGATCTAAATAATACTGACTGATGTTTTCTAAGACCGAGGCCATTATTTTAAATCCATCTAACCCCAATATGTGCTGCCAATATGAGCCAATACTTTGGGTCCATATTATTTCTTCTAGCTTCATTTGCATGATTAAAATGACAAGAAATTTTAACTAATCTTAATTTAAACAACAAAGAAACATTTACAAAAAAATGAAATGGCACACTAAGAATGGATGGTAAATGGAAAGCATCCTTCATCACTAATGGATGAGACAAACAAATA